ATTTAAATTTTATAAAATGTTTAAAACAATACGAAAATGAACACTCCAAAATTTCAAAAGCCGCTATAACAAAAATTAGTAATCATTTATGGTACTTAACAGAAGAGGCAGCAGCATTAGCTTTCTTTGATGACACATTATCAAACGAAATCAAAAGATTGATGGTACAGTCACTTAATAACGATGGAATTATCCAACCAACTATAAGCGTCTTATTGTTTCATTTCAAGATCTTGGAGAAACCTTTTCAGGTATATTATACTATAGTTTTTGATATATAATTACGTAAGTCATAAGGTTATTAATAGATAATGTATTATTTTTTTTGTAGAAAAAACACTGGCGTCTTTTATATCAAAGAATAGTATGCAATTTTTTTCTCGATTTAATATTAATACGGACTTTTTGAATGATGATCCGAGCACATGGGACAATCAAATTAGTTATTTACGCGGGAAAGAAATTGCATGCTCGCTAAATGTAGTAAATGATACAGCGGAAAGAGCAGTTAAACTTATGGAAGATTTTCACGGAACTTTAACCAAAGATGATAAGAAGTCTGAGTTGCTATTACAATGTATACAAGAACACAGAAGACTATATCCTGATTGTAAAAAGGAAACATTGAAAAAACAATTTTAATTAATAAAAATGTAAAATAATATTTTAAGAAAAAAGTACTTTCGTACACAAAATTCAATATATCTTGTAAACTATAATAAATAAGAAGAAGTATGTAAGAAGGTAATTTATAGACAATTTTATTATATTTAAAACATATTATGTAACAAATTTTAATTTTCCTTATTGTAATCGAGATATATATAAAAATGTAAAATATATCATTAAATTATGAATGAATTAATATACTCAAATTTCAAATTCAAGTCGGCACGGGTTAACCTTAATAGATTGACTTGAAACTTTTTGTAGTTCATTTTTTTATGCATATACACAAATAAAGTGGGTGAGACCAACAAAAATGTAAAAAAAAAATTTTATAGTTAAATAAGGGACACCCTAATAGGTATATATAATATAATTATAATTATAAAAATTGACTTATTAAAAAAATAGATTGAACATACTAACATTTTATTTTCGGGACTCAATTTACCTACTACCTTTTTTTCCGGGACTCAACTTACCTATTACCTTTTTTCCTGGACCCAATTTACCGACATAAGGTCATCTGCGATCCGATTTACCAATCCTACCCTCTACCACCCGCTGACACCGTCACTGGAATTTAATAGTCACAACAAGTCCTCTAAAATCAAAATTGAATATAAACCATGTAATAAAATATAACTTCGTCATTAAAAATAAAATGTAAATAATAAAATAAGTATATATTATATTAATTAAACAAAATCACTGAATCTATTTTGGGTCATAGGTAGTCGACCTGATGTATGTTTTAATTCTTCTCATGCATGGAAAATAAAATATAAATTTAATAGTATTCAACCACATGTATGATACATACAATTATATAATAAAACTATAAGCCAATACAGCCAATACAGGTACCTATTTAAAAATAACAAAATATAATAATATTTCGTGTTCGAGATTTATATCTGAAGCTTGAAGCTAATATAAGGCATATTGTTTTTTTTTTATAGCTGTACATATTACACATTTACACATAACCACATTGTTTATTGTAAATTTGTAACTGATAATTGCTGGTAAATGAGTATCAACACAAATGTCAAATAGAGGATACAATATTGTATAAATAGGTACTTCATATAAATAAATTGATAAACAATAGTAATAAGTCACATCGTACATTCGTACCCAATATTCCATTTTTAGCCTTATGTAAACCAATAATTTATACTGTGATGTGTCAATACTCTATACCAAAAACCTACAGTAAATTTCTTATGTGAAAAACTGAAAACTAGAAATGCATATACTTGGTAGATTCACAATATCAATATAATAACATTATTATTGGGAATGGGCCGATACCACTTTTTAGCGTTTACCAATATTCAATATTCCGATATATGCTAGGTACCGATAAAAAACCGATAACCTAGTATACATTTGAAAACCAACATTTACGACATAAACTATGAACCGATATTAAAAACTCACCGATACCCGATAATACAAATTTTACATATTAGCATTCATGGTAAATAAATATACAAATTTGAAATTACATGATTATTTATTTTTGTCATTTCAAGTGAATTAAACTAAGAAAATGTATTATTAAATAATAATGATTTAAATTGTTTTCATTTTCTGTCTAAATATAATGTGATGTAGGTATTGTGTATGAGGTAACATCCTTCAGCGTTCGGCTTCACCCTAACGCACACAGAAAAATATTGAAGGATTAAGCAATTTATTGAATGATTTAAAAAAATGTTTCTTTACCTACCTGTTCAATATATATTTAATTCATTTGAGCTTAAAACAAATGGTAATGACAGAATCTTTGCAGTTTTCTAAGAGTCTACCACTGTAAAATATCAAGGGACTAACTGTAGCCTTCACTATTGACACTGGTGAATAATGCTATTATAGAATTGTAGTACACTGGTACATTTTGACTAGATATTGTATAATCTTAAAAGCAATTAGCAGGGGGGGTAAGCCCCACACACATCGGCTCAAACGGGGGGCTGGGGCTTAGCCCCCTAGAATTTCTATATCCTTCCACTAAAACTAATGATTTCACTACTTTAATTTAAAAGCATCATAAGAGTATCAAGAGCCCCCCTCCAAATTTCAAACACTATTTACGCCTATGCCCAGTTTTTTAAATCGTACTTTAGGTTAAAATAAAGTTATCAGGGTCTGTGATGGCGTGCTGCTGATACAATTCTAGTCCCAACAAATTTAAATTTACAACTTTTTATTGTTTTTTTTAAAGTTAAATAACAATAAAATATATAATCGACATGGTCATTCTCTCAAAAATATCATTCACTAACTTTTTTGCAATGGGGGATTTTACTCTAACATTACTTACTAACATAGAAAAATGATCTTGCGTTAATGCGTTATGTCTATGTTGCGCGTGGGCCAGAGAGAGAAAACAAATAGTGTGCTGACATCCTCTTAAACATTTAAACCTCCTTGGCTACTAGAAATGGGCTATTATATTGTATTATAATTACAATAAATAATACAAATAACTTACACGCATAAGTGTTATATATAATATAGATAATTATATTCGATTATATTGGTACAACGTATCATGGTGTTGTATTTTAACGAGTGTACAAACATAATGTCACTATATGATTGCAGTCGAAAAGGAAATATTTTGAGCATAGAGTAATATGTAAAAAAAAAGACAAATAATAAAATTAAAATAAAAATAACAATAAAAATACAAATAAAAATAACTATCACATTGTATATCTAGTTTTACCATTTATTAAACTAAATAGTAAATAGGTACTGCAAATTAAAAATCGCAGGGCACTAGAATGTTGTAGATTATTAGATTAAGAAATTCAATATTGTGCCAAAAAACAAACACATAAATAATTGTTGTTCTTTTTAAACTTGTGGTGTTTCACCACGGGAGAGAATCATATTCATATGTGATGACAAGAGTGTAAATTAAATAACTTGTCATCGTGGTGTTATCCAATTAGTGATTTACAAAATTAATTGAATATAAAATGTATTATATAATAATTTAATTGGATAGGCCACATTATTAATTTAAAAATAATTAAGCATGCAGACTTATGGCTGTTTAGATGAAATATTTATGTTGAATTTTATATAATTAAACAATTTAAGAAGCGTAGTTAAATAATGAATTTTCCAATAATTATAAATACACTGCGATTTAAAATAACAAATTATTGTATCTTACAATCAACAATATTTTTGTATCTATTAGAGTGGGTCTTAAATGTGATCACATTGGTGTTTTGATAAATGTTTATCATTGTTAATTCAATAAGAAAATAACGTTTATAAGGGATTAAGTTTATCGATTCTAATATAATATGATTGATTTGCTATTATATGGTGATCACAATAAGCAACACCCACTGTACTAGCTTACAGGAGTTCAAATACTCGTGGATAGTCATGATTATAAAAACATAATTAAATAGTTTATCAACTGTGATATAACAAAAAGGAAATTTAATTTTTGATACTAGATTTATATTTAGATTGATATTTGATAGATTTTTAGCAATATTGGTTTCAATAAACATAATTTTTTGGGATGGTTTAAATTTATTTGGAAATTATTATACAACAAAATGTATCAACACTTTTACTGTTTCATAGTATTATTGTAAATAACAAAATTTACTTGTTATAGATAAGTAAAAAAAAAATTTTCTTACAGTTTCCAAACAATTATCACAGTTGATGTAAAATATACTAAGAGATTCTAAGAAGTTTTAAGTTAGGGATATTTAAATAGTTTTTGGATAGTAATTTACTAATTACTATCCAAATAATTTGTGAATATAACATAATATGGTATGTTTTATAAAAGTTTTATGTCAAATTAAAACTTTTATCAAATATAAAAAAAGGTATGCACTATGAATATTAATATCCAAGTTTTCTGGATAATTCTATATAGTGTGAAGTATACAATATGTGTAAAGCTATTTAAAAATAGACCTAGGGCATAATTTTATGAATTTGTTAATCATTTTAAAACAAACACAAGTATCAATATAAATACCGAGATAGAAAATAAACAGACTTGCTTTTACACATTCTTGATTGGACTATTGGTAGTATGTTGTAAAATAAGCTATATTATGTCACCTTTAGAAACAATAATAACTTTTTATAATATTTATAGGGCACAAGCCCTAGGTCCATAACTGTCAATGTCAAATATAGACAGATTTAAAATAATTTACTTAACCTAAATAAAGATTTAATCAAACAATAATACAAAAAAATAAAATAAAATATAAAATGGTATAACTGAATAAATTCAGAAGAAACAGTAGAGTAAACAAGTATATAATTCAATGTTAAACATCCTGAATAACAGGTGTATTTTTCTCATCTTCAAGATCTTGAGTTGTAGTTAAGTTACTCCACCAATTGGTTACTGCACCCCTAGCTTGGGAAATAGCACCTCCTATTCCAAATAAATACCATGTTATTATCACAAAACAAAAACAAAGATGATTAATATTATTACACATACCAACAACTTTACCCGTGGACGCAACTGCTCTACTTGTATTTTGGACCGCTTGGTTTAATTTTCGACCACTTCTACTGCTCTGCATTGTGCTTTAAACATAAAACAATATGTCTTGCTTTAATTATAATTAATTTATAAATCTTAGTTGATATATTAAAACTACTTTAGTAGTATTTTTTTTAATTAGTTAGCTTGCATATTTGCAGATAAAAATATATTGTTCTTCTTACAGCCGAAAAAATAAGTTTATTTTATTCTCAACAATTATTAATCACGATTAACTTATAAACCCAAAATTGTTAACATAATAAATATTATTGTTTACAATAAATTCATAAATACAATTTAAAAAAATAAGTTGTTTAATCATATTTTAGAACTTTACATTGGCCTGTTGCCTAATAGTAATAATTTTAGATTCTGAGTGAAAAGATGAATGTATTGATTTTACAATCGTGTGTGTTTTTTTTTTTTTTTTTGAGTGATTTTGGTTTTTGGTGCAACTCTAAAACAAATGACAGGTACATACAATTTTGACTGAATGTTTATATTTTAATTTTCTATACACCATACAATTTTGACTCTTTTTGGACTGTTTACTGACATTGTCAGTTTTCAATTTTTTAGTTTTTTTTTTTTATAAATATCAATAAAAATGTATTGGTCGGGTGAAAAAGCGTGAAAATTCAATGCAACGCTCCTGATATATTGTTACAATAGCAGTTGAAAAACATTAAAACTACATATTATACACAATTTTTTTTTTATAAGCATTTAAAGTTCGAATTTTGACAAAATATATCAAATTTAAAATTTAATAATTATTTTTAGTTAAAAATGTATAAAATGTTCAACTTTTATAGCTAAGGATTACAAATTTAAAACAAGGTTCCATGTAAATGGGTTATATATAAATTACTTTATTCACAATAGTATCATCAAATAAACTTAGTAATTTCATAGGCTGACTGACCTTTTTCGCTCAGAATCGTTTTTCTTATACAATATATATCATTGAATTCAAATTTAATACCATCCATTAAAGTGACCCACTTGTAACCTATTGTACAGCAGAGTGACATCCACTTTCCCACCTTTTTATATTTCATTTTGCTCACTTTAATAGTTTAATCCAATAACAATGATGATATCTACTATAGTATATTATTTATAGCATAGACTTACAACATTATAAGTCTATGATTTATAGTCCTCAGTCCCCACCACATATACTTTCTAGTGTTTAAACCATTATTGTAGATTTATATCAGATAATTTCATATTTCCTTTTATAATGTCTACTTACAGCATTTGAGCAACTAGAGGGGTGCAAAAGGGTCTTTAGCACCATTTATTTTTTAGGTCTAACTATCATTATTTTTTTATTTTATTTTATAATAATAAACGGGTTTGAAACCCTTTTGAAAATGTATAAAAATTACATAATTACAATAACATTCATAACAGAGTAAAAAGTTTAATTACAAATAATGATAGATAAATAAAGTTAATTAGATTTAAGTCATTAAAGGTGATTAATATTAAAAAAACGAAAAAAGATTAACAAATAGTAAAATAAAAGATCTATAGAGGGATCCTCATTGGCCATTAACATTAAAGCCTAATAATCTCTTTTTCCATATAATTGCTCGGACATATAGGGACATGAAAAGGAACACTAGAACGGTTTTGACGGGGAGGAACCTTGAAATTCAGTAAGGACAATAAATCAGATGAATTAACTTGACCAGACAACAGTCCCTTTAGAAACTTTACGCAAAGCATTCGCCTGCGTTCAGCTAGAGAGACAAGACCTAATTTAGCAGCAACAGCTGAATAATCGTGCGAAGGGTGTTCTTATTAATTGAAATACAATAAATGTTATATTTTTAAAATATGAAATATTATAGCACCCCACATTTTAGAGGTCTAGTTGCACCTATGACTTACAGTTTATTCTCTATTGTCCTCTAACCTAACCCTGTACTATCCAAATTGAAAATCTATTAAAGCAAACAGGCTGACATTTGTAAACTTATTGACAGTTTGAAAAATATTCATAAATTATTAGTATAGAACTATTTTTAAAACATTAAAAACAAATAATAATTTAAAACTGATATTATTATAATTGAATTCCTTAATTTATTACTAACATCAATGTTACAAATAATCAAATAAGAAGTAAGTACTCAGATAGTTAGTTATTATAGGATGATTTTTTTTTATAAAATAGGTAACACTCATTATTTTAAAAACTATAAACTTTTTTATATTTTTTTATTTACATAATTTTGAGTTGTTACAAAACAACATTTAAAAATAGTTACGTATATTTTTGTTATTTTTTAATGTGATAATTTTAAAGCTTTTTACTTCATGTATGCCATGTTTCAAATATTTAAAGCTTATACAAGTATAGTACTGGACTATTTTTTTGTGGGATTGGGATATCTCTGTGCAACAGCAACTCCACTTGAAATACTTCTAGAAATATTTTGTTTTGTAATAAGAAATTAAAAAGGTATGTTGTCCTGGTCATTCAATGTAAAAAAAAGCAAGTTATTTTGCAACGACAGATTTTTTTTTTTGAAAGACGCCAATAGATTTAGAATGTATAATAAATGTTTTTGGATAAAAGAATCAATCGATATACCTATATCTAAACATTTAATATGTATTAAGCAATTTACATACTGTGATATTCTTAGTTTCATATCAGCTACAGACAATTGACCAGCAAATGGATGACAAGGTTCAAGTGCCATAATTGCTTGGTGTTCTTGGTTTAACCAAATTTGGTAATTTTTTGTTTGTTGCCAAGCGGATATGAAAGCTGGATTAAAGTGGTTTAATTCAGGTGCTCCTTCTAGTATAATTATTAAATAAATTGTATATTATACTAGTTAGAATATGGTACTTATAAATTATTTCAAAACTAGTTATTAGAAAATAAGAATACAATAATTAAGTATAAAAATTCTACTGACCACTTAATAGTGAAGTTCTTAATAATGATAACAAATAAGCTTTAAATTGTGCTCTTATCCATTCATCTCCACCTTCCCATCCAACTCCATCCAAAAATACATCTTCTTTTTCTGGTTGGACGACATGTCTAACAAGATAATCAGCAAAACGTAGGTCTTCTGTAGTTAAATGTAAATGTCTTTTTAGCTCAATATTTTCTATTTCTACTTTTCCTTCATCAATCTAAAATAAAATTGTATCATGAATATATAAATGTTATTAATCAACTTAAATAATAAAACACTTTACCTCAACAATTACATCAGCTAAATTCTTCTTTTGTTTGAACAATATATTTGATGCCCCGATTACATATCCTCGAACACTAGGGTCTGTTAAAATATCCATGTATGATAGGCAAGAATATGGCTGACATAAATTACCCTTAAAATATCAATAATATTAAATTAGTTTCTTCATTAAAAATATTAAATTAGTTTCTTCATTAAAAATATTAAATTATTAATACGGACATTATCAAAAATAGACATAGGAACTCCACAATCTTCAGAATTGATTTGGGCAATACCAATCATATTATATTGCATAGCAGCTTCATCCAACGAATCAATACTAGGATCTCTAGGAATGTTTGAAACAAATGTATTGTTAGGAACTATGTCTTCATCAACAACTTCATTTGATTTTTGACTAACTATACTGTGGTCATTATCTTCTGTTTCTGGAGTTATATTTGAAACAATAACTTCATTTTTGTTTTCAGTTGAGTCTTGGGTAGCATTACTAGGGCTAAGAAAAATCATATATTTTGTAATAACTGTTAATTTAATTTTATGCGAGATTACAAATATTTAGTTACTTAATGTTAGCAGATTTATTGAGCCCATTTTCAATAAGTCCGGGGTGAAGAGATAGTAAGGTCAATATTGTAGAACATAGTGGACGAACAGGAGAGTAGAAAAATAGTACTTTGTTTTCTAACAACATTAATTTAAATAACAACAACACTTTATGTCTAAACCTTGTCACAAGTTCAACTGCAGATAGACCTGTAAAAAAATGATGATCTTTAATAATAAGTGATTTATAAAAGGCAAAGAACAAGTACGAACCAACAAAAAGATGAGGACTGGTGCTAATATTGTCTATACTAGACAAACAGGCATTGAGGTGGTGATACGTGTCATGTAAGAGTGATATTTTACTAAAATCACCCTCTTCAAAATATGCATGTGTAATTAGAGACATCTTAACTTGAATATGCCCATATAACGGTAATGTACTAAGTACACATACTGATTTTTGGATTGTACTTCTTGTCATATCAGGAGTTCGGTTAATAATTTTCTTTAAAAATAATAAATATTTTAAGCAACTCAATAGGCAGTCAAAATTGTTAAGTAATTTACTTCTAACGGTATTTGCCTGTAACATGAAATCCCATAAATTGTTTCATTTGGATCTTGTTGGCTAGGTAGATGAAAGTATGCAGTGTCTTCATCAAAGTTGTGCGATCCATCGGGTAATGCTAAATACGGCAAATGCTTCCAAGCAGCTGGACATTCAGCAGAAACACCAGTGGTGTCTTCAATAAATGGTGGATAAGCATATTCTACCTAAACATAAAAACAAACTAGGTATTAACTATCAACTAAATAGTATTTTTGAACAAATTTTATAATTATTTTTCTAAAAATTATATTATGTTTTATTTGTTTAACCTATATACATTTATATCTATTGAACTACCACTACCCACATTTGAGATGTGTAATTATTTCATTTTGGCAGAAGCCACATTTTTTAAGAATAATAAAATGGCTAAAGTATGGGAAAATATCAACAGAATTTTGACATTGTAAAAATTAAATCCAAACTATACTACCTAAGCATTATACTTATTTAGCTGTTAGCTGCATACATAATATTGTTTAGAGAAAATGCCATAAGGATGCAGCTATTCGGCCCTGCGACATTTTAATTATATGTCAATATTATTGGGACATACTGTTGACAAACGTATGAGATAAAACCATTAAATGAGTGGATAGAGTTTAAACCGTACCTGACATCCTTTTTTATGATGGAATCCAACCACCAAAACGTGTAAAATTGGATTTTCTGTCATGACGATGAACTTGGTACAAAACTATTAGCAGTTTAAACGTGTAGACGTATTTACCACCGTGTGTGCATACGACGTACTCATTTGATTAATACATTTATATCTGTTTGAACGAAATCGTCATTTGACGACGGACATTCCTATCGATTATCGTTATTGGTTTTTGTGCCCTATTTTACGTATCATTTGACAGGAACGTAGTAACGATGGCCGTGTGGTCGTCACCAACGTGAGTAACGTCTGTTTTTACTCAACGCCGACCAACAAACAACACGTAGGAAAATTGGTTCTCGTTATACTACTAACTGCGAACTTTTGTGTTTAGCTTTAGCCGTCGATCGATGATAACAATTATTATTATTATTATTATTATTATTATTATTATTATTATTATTATTATTATTATTATTATTATTATTATCATCGCAAAATGAACAAAACGTTATTATCGATTTGATAAGAGCGTATTGATAACAAAAGAAAAACCGTGAGTACTGTAAATAAAATGTAGGTTTCCACGCACGCGCTTGGCACTTCCCGCCGTTGAGCGCGTTGATGGTGATGGTGAATCCAGAATCAGGTCTAGAGTAGTAAAAAAGGTATAAAGGTTTCATGAATTTTTTGAGCGTAGAGCGTTTCATGCGTGTAAGCACTAAATACTAATACACTATACTTAAATAAACTTAATTTCTTAATACTTTAAATTTTATTACGTTATTGAAACCGCCGCGAATGAGCGAAGGCCGATGGTGTTAGAGAGATCATGTGGTCTTGTGTTCATTATAGTACCTACTGGCTACTACTAAATAGTCTAAATATTCGTATCCCATATTAAAAAATTAAATTGACATGAAAATCTCTCATGTTTGCCACCAATTATTTTTAATTCAAACTAGCATCCATTTGTCTAGAATTTATACTGTGTTATGAATTATGATGACTATTGACTTATACAACAAATAATACAAAATATTAAAACTCAGTAAAAAAAAGGTGGGTAAGTGGATGTCGCTCTGCTGTACTGTAGGTTACAAGTGGGTCACTGTATGATGGATGGTATTAAATTTGAATTCAATGATATAATATCATTGTATAAGAAAAACGATTCTGAGCGGAGGCGGTATGTCAGTCTAGGTATAAACTATAAGACATATTATATACTTATTTATGGTATTAAATTATATGGAATTTATGAATAAATTATTCATTGCCCCTTAAAATATGCACAGTCTTATCATTGAGCATACTTCTTATTCCTTATACTATGGTAGATTGTATGGATAGGCCATAATGTGTTGATTTTTCAGTTTCATATATCCCCGAATAATATTTTTAAATTACAACAAAAACCAAGATCGTTAATATTGATTTTAATATGTAATTTCGTCCAAATTTGAATTTAAAATGTCTGTAAAAAATAACTGTGTTCATAAATTGCTTAGATTTTTTGGTTACAGTATGAATTATTTAAGAGAATCTTTGTTTTAAATTTTTAACTCTTAGTTATAAAAACTGAACATTTTATAATTTTTTAATTCCAACGATTGATAATTTTCGAGATTTTGATAAATTTTGTCAAAATTCCAACTTTAAATGCTTATAAAAAAAAACTGTGCCTATGTATTTTTAATATTTTTCAACTGCTATTGTAACAATATATCAGGAGCCTTGTATTAAATTTTTACACTTTTTGGCCCAACAGATAAAACTTTATTGATATTTATAGAAAAAAAAACTAAAAAAAATTGATAGCTGTAAATGTCCATAAACAGCTCAAAAAGTCTCAAAATATTTTCAAAATTGTATGGTGTATAAAAAATGCTAATTTAAACATTCAGTGAAATTTTCATGTATCTACAGTTGTTCGTTTTTGAATTGCAACAAAATAAGGAAATCGCTACATGAGTAATCGAGTGAAAATCCAATGTTGTAAAAATTTGAATTTCAAACGCTCATAAAAATTTAACTTGACTGTCCGGTAGAGATTTTTTTATTGATAAAGGTAGATAATCTTATAAGGAATCTTGTGTTTCATTTTCAAATCTTAGATTTAAAAAGAAAAATTTTTACGAATTCTTAACTAAAATAATTTGCTAATTTTCGTGATTTTTCCATATTTTGTAAATTTTTGAACTTTAAATGCTTATAAAAAAAAATTGTGACTAAGGATTTTTAATATTTTCATCTGCCTTTGAAACAACATATTAGGAGCCTTCTATTAAATTTTCAAGCTTTCGCAACCAACAAATAAAATTTTATTGATATTTCTAGAAAAAAAACTAAAAAAAAATGAAAAATGAAAATGTCCCTAAACAGTTCAAAATAAATCAAAATATTTTGAAAATGTTATCGTGTATAGAAAATGCAAATATAAACAACCAGTGAAAATTTCATGTATCTACGGTCATTTGTTTTAAAGTTACACCAAAAACCAAATTCGATTTTGTCAAAAACTGATTTTGCGTAAAAATTCCCGTTTTTCCTTAATTTTTATGTTGTTTTTCCCGGCGCTTGTGAAAACTATTGGGAATTTTAAATTTTGACCTCCCCAATGCACCAACGATATTCACTTTCCAATCGAACAAGATACTGAAGTCGAAAATCGAAGCATTATTTCGACTACTTATCGTGTACACAGACACAAAAATAAAAAAATAAAAAAAATAAAAATAAAAAAAAAAAAAAACACACATCATTGTAAAATCAATACATTCATCGTTTCACTCAGAATCTAAAATGTTAAAAAAATGTTGAAAAGTTTATTTTTTAAATAAATGTAATAGAAACCATGACAAATTATATAGGTATCATCACAGCATTTTGATACGCATCCTCCTCCCCTCTTTACTTCGCCTATATCGTAGTTCTCCACTTCTTATTGACTGTCAATCATATACATTCATATATAACATAGAACAAAATCAACCAATGAGAAGTGGAGAACTACGATATAGGCCGGAGGTGAAGAAGATGCGTATCTACTGACCAAAACTAGTACAATTGTAATGATACCTATATAATTTGTCATGATCATAGATATATACAACAACTAGATAGCCGTCATTTTACTACAGTTGTGACCATTATTGAAATCGACCGCCATTTACAAAGCAGGCAATGTTTACATTTATTTTACATTTATTTATATATATTATATTTATCCATACATAATATATACTATGATAATATTATTTTGTAAGCATTGCCTGCTTTGTAAATGGCGGCCGACTTCGATGACAAGAAGGAGACTGCTATCTAGTTGTTGTATATATCTATGGTCAATGGTCATGATAGAAACAATAATCATTTTCTTCAAGACTGTTACTTATTTAGGTAGGTACTTTATATTTCATATACAGGACGGACCGTCCTTTTAGCATATTATTCTAATTTCCCAATTTGTTATTATATTATTATGTAGGTACCTATTGTCCTATTTATTATAAATAGGTACATAATCATATTAAGTCTTACGAAAGGCGAAAGCACAATGGGCTAATGGTAGAGATGTACTTTTACTCAATTCATTTGTAGATTACACAATACAATTTTAAACATTTTGACTATACTCAGTTTTATGATTACAATTTACAATATTAAAATAAAAGTTTGTTATCGAAAATTTGAAGCAATGATAAATAGTCTATAACTAGGTACATTTACTTATTTTTTACATCTTAATCTTTATTATCATTTATCTCTGTCAAATAATGTTAATAAAAATTAAGCAAATAAATATTATCCAATACTATGTATGAAAGTGGGTTTTTCTTATTACCTTCATGTATATGATATGATGTACTCTTTTCTCATAGGCACGATCTGGTAACCCTATATATTTGTATGTGTAAAATGTAAATAGGTACTAATTAATGCTTATTAGGTATCTACTCATATAAATTATAAAGTATAGTGACGACTGACAAGACGGCGATGACGACTGACGATTTAAAATTGTTTTGAAATTTCGGGGGAGAGTTGAACAGCCTCCCCCTCCCCTTTTGTGTATATGCGGCCTGAGACTGAGAGGTAGCAAGTGCCACGGACTAAGATGGAAACATTTGGTGATCAGACGACTGACACCACGTCTGGTATCAGAGTTCACAACCGTTACGATTGCATTTCATCTTCGTTCATGGTAAGTGTACTGTCGGCTACGTTGAACGTTCCTACGTGTTATATGACCGTTCTTCTTTTATAACATTAATAGTAAATAATAATTAATAATATCATAATTTATATTACACTATTTTGTTTCTGATTTAAATAAAAATATATAACTTACTATTTGTATATTACCTACGAATAACACTAGGCGCCAGGCACCACCATCCACCAGACATGTAAACTTAGACCACTGTCCACTGTACCCCACTAGCTAAATGGAGATATAACTTTCACCACTTATTTTTAATGGAAGTGTTGGGTTTTGTCCAATTAGTTGACTAGGTACTAAAATAATGTAACTTTAGATGAAAGAATATATTCAGCCTATATTTCATATTTAAGAATATATTGTACCTATATTATAAGTTCATGAAAAATTAATTTAAAACAAATTAATTGTATCGATATATAAATATATAAAGTAAGAACTTATGAATGGCATAAATTATGATGGTGCTGATTTGAAAACAAAGGGTGCTCAGCACAATTTTATTGTTGTACGTATCTATAACTTAGCTATATACGAATATATATATATATATAAAATATTAAGATGTATGATAATAAAGGTGTATATATAAAACAGCCGGATATCTAGTGATTTCACATCGTCGGTATACTAGGTGCAAGAAAAAGGACGGTGCACTCCTAAATCTGCCTGCTGCTGCAGTATAATGCCTGTCGGACTCGGTGTACAATTAAATGTATGACGCGGAAACGCATTGCTATATATATATAACATATATTTATTTATTTTACTGCAGGGTCCAAACACCGAAAAGTTTACTAGTAGGTATTTGTAGTTTATACTTGCGCCGCCGGCGAGTGTAAGACCG